TTGAGACCCCGCTCTTCGCTGCTGCAGCCTTTCTGCTGCTGTGTTTAAGCCACAACTTTGCATCTGCAGAAAAACACTTTTATTCAGCTCCAGCTGTGCCAAAACTCCCTTTTGGCAGAGATAGCAGCCCCTTACAGCCGTCTTATGAAGCAGTTTGTGGCCTCGGTATTGCTTGTGTATGTAAAGCTGAAAACGTAGGCCTGCTCGGAAAAAGCTTAAGTTGAGGCCAGGATAGCCGAGTCCCAGTATGTACTCACAGTTGAGCACACCAGCATAGATGCAGTGGAGAGAAAATTTAACAAAAAGCGGTGTGTCTGGGCTGTCCCAGGGCTGTGCAGTGAGTCAGTGGAGTCCAGGTACCGAGTGGAACGGGAAGCAGAGCCTCGACTTTGCGTGGTCGCTGGCTTTGCTGTGCATTGCTAATGAGTAATACTGGTTACTGTTGGAAAACAGAAGTGGGCAGTTACAAAGGTAGAGCCGAGTTTGAGGGCAGGAATAGGGAATTGCCTTCCAGGCTGGGCCGTCAGGCTCTGCAGTCTCCTGTAGGAGGGCACAGTCAGTTCCTGAGACTTCCCAGGAGTTTCTTACAGAGATTCATCTGGAGGACTAAGAAAGTGGAGCCAGTGACACTATACTGACTCCACTGATACTATCCTCCTAAATTAAATGGTGGAAGAACAAGGCCTGCCTGTGAGATAAAGTCAGGGCCTACTTCATCTACCTACAAGGTTTTAATGGCAGTCAGAGGGAGCAAGTGAAAAGGTGTTTCTGTAGAAAATGGCAGGTGTGTTTGGTTTGAATGTTGTATTTGTTCTTTTGACATTCTCTCTCCCATGTGTTTTTGCTCATAGGCCCATGGGTTCCTTTGTTCCCGCTCCAGGACTGGGTGAGGAGGGACGCCGGACGTGCTGAAGGGTTATGGTAACCAGCTTGGAAACTGTAACTGTGTGTTTAGCCGCAGACTGTTTGTGTAAACCTGTCTGATAACCGGTGCAGCCTTGTGATTGGGCTTTGTGGGATGCCCTCCAGTGGCAGCAACGTGTACCGATATTTTAAATAAAGAGGAAACAGAAGGGAACTGGAAAATTGATCCTTTTTGCCCAGCCTAAAGGGGTTTGAGGGTACCTCCTTCTAAGCCCAAGGGCCTTTGGGCAGCCCTGGGAAGGTCCCCAGTTAGCTGCTGGGTGAGGCCTGGCTGGGGTGTCCCATCCTTGGGCAGTTCTCCTGCTGCAGGCTCTGCAGGGATGCACAGATCACTGCTGCAAATCAGAGCAGGCTGTGGGGTCCAGGTGGCTGATACCAGCTTTAGGCATGAGCTCCAGTCCTTCACAGGTGATGAATTTTGCTGTGTGCCAGTAAATGCACAGAGTGAAAAGGAACAGGAAGAAAAATGCCAACAGGTACCAGGAAAAATGCATCTTGCAGCACATAACTCACTATCAGAGGCAAGGACAGCTCATTTATAACTGGCTGTTGTCCTTTCACATGATCTAGTTCAGCTGTGAGCCAGAGTTCCTGCAGACAGGCCAGAGATGAGAACTGGTTTTGCCTCATCTGAGACACAATGCAAAGAAATAACTCTCAGACTGACAGCTCAACACAGTTCTCAAAGATGAGTGTTGTACCCAGGATTCCAGATAAACCAAATACGCTTGGTGTTCTGGCGTACCCTGCTGGACCTGTTAATGCCCTTCAGCTTCAGTAGGAGACTCCCCTTTTCCTATCAAATACACCTTCCAGTTCTGTACAGGGTTTGGCCCTTACTCACAGTCTTAGAGAAGTACTGCACTTCGTCCGGTCTGGTGGACTTCTGCAGAAAGATGAGGTTGATGTGAACTTCCAGCCTGGGTGCTGTACTGGTCTGATCAATAGACCCTGTAGCGGAAGTGGTGGCCTCCCTTGTAAAGCAGTTACATAAAGGTAATTCACAGTGACGGCTGGCTTTAAAAAATTCAGGTTGTTCATGCCTTTTCCTTTGCTGCATAAATATTTAAGTGACAGGGTTGGCATTCCTAAGGGAGGAAATGCTTGGGTTATTGCTGATGGGTGAAGCTTTTATTAAACAGAAACACGCAAACTCATTTCCCATATTGTTTTTAACCTAGTAGCCAATTGTTGCTTATTTGTTCTTTTTTTTGGATAGTTCTGTTGCTGCCTTATCTGTCCTGTACCATGCCTGGCGATGACCGCTGAGTTGTATTCTGCTGAGCAGGCTGCTCCGTGCTCAGCCATCAGGCCTGCATTCTCCAACAGAGTCATCAAGTAGCAACGTAGTGGCGGAGCTGTTTGGTACCCATAGAGTCCCACTCCAAGGGTGCCTGAGCACCTCGCATTTGGCTCAGAAAAATCTGTCCTTGCTGCAGTCCTGCGGGAGGGTTGTGAAGTCCCAGGGACTCCCAGGGCAGTTCACCAGTTGAAAAGTAGTTTGGATTGGGTTCTTGTACCATCTGAGATGAACAGCTCATCCTGGTGCCAAGATACAGGTATGGCTTAAACACTTGAGGTGAAAGCTGTTGGTGGGGAGCAGTGGGACTTCACAACAGAACGTCTGCTTTCATCAGAATTGTTGGGTTCAGCGGGAGCCTTTCTGCATTAAAGGCTTTGTTGGGAGGCTCAGACATCCTCATACCTCTGCTCTGACACTTGCGTGTTTTACTCTTTCAGATATCTACTTGAAGAGCGTGGCTCTCAATTTTTGGCAGATAAAGGTAAACCATGTTCCAGTGGGTAGAAACTGGACCCTGAATCAAAGCATACATTTTTAATGGGGGGGCGGGGGGAAAGGTGTTAAAACATCTCACCGCTTCATTCCCTGGCAGAGGAGCTGTACGCTTTAGCTGCTGCTCTCTGGTACGGCTATGCCAACATCAGTCAGCAGGGCTCATGTGGCCACCTCGTGTCCTCTGCATTGGCCGTGGCTGCTGGCGAGTCACCTGTTCCTGCTGGGGACAGTTGTGCTCGCTGCAAGATGTAGCAACTGAAAGTCTTGGCCTGCCTTACAGAAGGTCTGACAGAGTGACCGTAACAGACCGTTCTGCCCTGGAAATCTCTGAATTCCTGGTAGGCTAAGAAGTGATGCTGTACTTGCAGCTGAGTGTCGCTCAATGCATCTTCTTTTGAGGCTCGCAAAACAAATAGATATCCAAGAGAAGATGGTACCAATCACTGCTGTAATGACATATTCAGCTCCTGGTTTTATGGTTTCTGCAAAGCCTGTTTTAGGGAGACTTTTTAAGGTATTTGGGGAAAAACAGACAAGTTTTGGGCATGTGGTTCTATGTCAAATCTCTTCAGTTTAGCCAGGCTCTGTTTGTTTGTAAGGACCCTGTATACTGTAGAGACTGCTGCCTGTTGTGACGATCCCCTAGAATGGAAACTTGAACCAATGATTTTTGTAATAAATGTGCAATAAATCTGTGGAAAAGCATCTCTGTTAATGACTCTTGAATTCAGGTAGTTTTGACATACTCAAATGAGGCTGTTCAGAGCTAGACAAGCCTGCTTGACAGGCAGTGCCTCTCTGCTGTCTAGAAATGAAGCCTAAATGAGGACATCTCAGCTGAGTGCTGGGCCAGCCCCCTGGACACACAAAGCTCCAAGGACCCGGCATCCGGTGAGAAGCCCTTGGTGCTGAGGGGGAGGGCAGATCTGTGAATGGGGGGATGTACCCAGGTGGAGGTGAGCAGGGCCAAAAAGAACAAGCTAAAAATGATGCTTTAGATTTCTTCGTAGGGGCAATCGAGCACTGCAAGAGGCCTTGGTTTGTTTTTTCCCTGGAAGAATGAATGAGAAGCATGGGCATTCTGTAAAAATGTCCTTTAATGTTTGAGACTGTGGTGCATGCTTGGGTATTTCAGAAAGTGTGTGGTAGGCGCTAACAGTTCACAGACTAGGGAGGCGTATTTGATTATCTTGTGTCACAGGCTTCATATAGCAACAAGAACACTTGATTGTGAGATCAGCTTCATGGTTGGAGTGTTTTCAGCTCTGTCTAGCAGCTGTACAGTGATTCTGCCTTTTGCTATTTTTGTTTTTCTTTGAATGTTTAGCTCTTCAGCAGACCCGAGTGTGGAATTAATGATTGCTCTGGAACGGGGGAGTTCCCCAGGCATCAAATGGGTACTGGGGGAACCAGTGATCCAGCTGCCACCTGCGGCTTGGTGATACTGTCACTTCTGAGAAGGATGGTGTCCATTCCTACCTGGAGAATTCTGGGATGCTGATGGGTCTTGTGACCATAATGGTTTTCTGCCAAGATCCTGCCTAAGAGGACAGAAACTGTCGTAAGGGCTCAGGCAGCTGGTTTGGGTCAGGCTCGCTTTGCTCTGTTGTTGGGAGAGCGCTGGTTTATAGGCAGTGTGATGGAGCAGGTAATGCTGAAAGAGGGCATTGCTCCATGCAGGTTACATGTAGAGGTGGCAGCTGCAGGACACAGGTTATGGGAGGGCAGTCCATGGGGGTACTGCAATTCCAGTATGTATCTGTAGGATACCAGGTGTTTCCAAAGCAAAGCAGGGATGGACGTAATGCTGGAAGTGCGAGTTGAATGCATAAAGGTGCTGGGCGATATCTGCATTGAAAAATGACAGTCTGCAGTTCTCATAGTCCAGCAGGATGCCAATCCTTGTGGGGGGGACAGTAATTCTGATGTCTGGCGTCATCCCGCTGTGCAGGAACTCGTACTTGTGTCTGTAGGCAAGAAACACAAAAAACCTGAGGGCACCGTGGCTGCTCTCAGAAGGAAGGGCTTTGTGCACACAAGTATGCTCCAGGGTACGCTTCCTGCTTCACAGTCCCACTCCTGTGTGCCTGGTGGTTACTGCCCCAGTCTCATATGCTTTGCTGAGCAATGGCTTTGCCGAGGAATGGTGCGCCCAGCGCTTCCGCACAGCAGTGCTCAAACCTGTCTAACCTGTGTAGGGGGCCTCTTATTTCATATCCCAATGTGGCTGCGCCACATTGATGGGTGGTAGCCCTTCAGTATGGATGAGGTCAGAGCATGACATAGGACTTTCAATTTTTTTTCCATGTCTTAGAGGGCAATGTGGGTGTCCTGTAAATTGGAAGGTGCCCTCTTGACACTAGGTGTAGCCTGAAGTTGTCCCTTCCTCCATGAAGGAGCTGTGCTCTCTTAGGGCAGTTAGGCTTGTCCCAGGACAACACTTGTCATCCCCTCAGCTTTGCCCTGGATAGCTGTCTGCAGGCTGAGGAGAGAGTTGGCAAGATGACTCAGTCCTGTCCTTCCAGGCCCTGCCATGCTTCCAGGCCCGCTTCGTCCCTGAGGGCCTGTGGTACCAAGCCCTCTTTCCTGCCAGCCTTACAGGAACTGCTCACGCTGACCTTCACAGCAGCAGCAAGGGAGCCTAATCCCTTGGGCAGAGGCTGCCTGACGCAGTGTGGCTAGGCATCCTCCAGAATATTCGACATAGTTTTTCAAACCCTGCCCTCTAAATGATGTTTCTAGCTGCTTTTCTTACAAGACCTTCTGTTCAGCCAGGGTGGTGTCAATGGGGAAGTTCCAGTCTTCATGGTCATTTACTAGAGGGTGACATCTTTTAATTGTGATGCTTGAACTGTGGAGGCATTGGAGGCCAGGAAGGTGCTCTGTACGTAAGCAGCTTTGTCATGAGCGTAGCCCTCTTCTTCCCCATCTAGTCACTGTTCAAGTGATGCTGAGGTCCTGTAACAGTTACTCAAACAGCTCTCCCTAGTGTGGCATGTTGCAACCAAAAATATGAGACTTTTATGGGAACGTGCCTTCCTGAGCAGAAAGGAGAAGACTTACTCAGCTGAAGTGAGTTAACTGGCATTTCGTAAGGGCCAGCTTCTTCACTAACCACCTCCTCCACCCACACCACTCAAACCTGAGATTTCTGTGCAGAAATGGGTATGACAGTGATTCAAACTGAGCAACAGCCCAGCTCCCTTTTCTCTCTGAAGTCCATACTCATTGCTCCAGAAGAATGAGAACAAACCTCAATGTCCCTCTTAGCTCAGCGTAGCAAGGAAATCAAATTAGCCTGCCTGCAGTGTATGGGAGAGTCATTAGCTTTAGTGGGTTTGGTCTCTTGTATTAAGCGACATTTCTTGCTGCGTGGGAGGCAGATGCCAGCACTGCTAAAGACTCTGGCTGTGCAGCGGGCCAATTGCTGGGGAGAGCAGCAGGTGCCTGGGGAGCAGTGTGTGCTCCAGCCAAGCAAGCTGCATCTAAAACCTCTCCCTGCATACCAGCAGGCAGCAGACAGGCAGATTTGGGCCTGTGCTATGCCATCCTTACCATTTGCTGACTATGCTTCAGGTGGTGTCCAGGAGGCCTGTTCAAGGGGACCCTGGCAACTCTTGCAGGCTGAGTGGTGAGCCATTCAGGCAGCAGGTGATACTTGGGGGTGCTGGCAGGGGGGTGACTTGTTTTCTTGCGCCTGGATGTTTCACGGAGTGCCCGGATCTCACACAGGAGTCAAAGGCAATGATGCTAATATAGTGGTCTGGGGGAGAGCCAGCAAGTTCAGCTGAGGCATAAGGGGAGCTGGCATTTCTGCATGTAGGTGTGGCTGTTAGGTACTTCCACAGGTAGAAGAGAAATCAAAACCAGTTGCATACAACCGGGTTTAGCCAGATATGTAGTTTCTAGGTTACATGGATCTATTACTCTGTCTTCCCACTGGGGTTTCGGTGACCTAAACCGAGGCCTTTACAGCTAACTTCTGTAATGCAGATTTTATTCAGATTTGTTCCTGGGACTGCCTATTTCAATGTGAGAATGTCATTAAGCAGAAGGATTTGGTTACAGGTTCCAGTATCCTTCCAAGAGCAGTTCACAGTGCCTACAGTGCAATGTCAGAGGCTTTTAAGTGCTTGTTCTGGGCTTTGATATAAAATCTCTGGCTGTCCCCTGCAAGTAGGAGCTCTCTGCTGCTCTGCCTGCAGGTGTACATGTAGGAGGTGTTCCTGTAGGAGACCTGTAGCCTCCACAGCCCTTACCTCGATGGTGTGATGATATGCCTCATGCACCAGGATGAGTTGTTTGCCCCCAGATAACCATGTCTTGGAGTGTTTTCAAAAGCCACGCCGATCCTGTACTCTGTGTCTTCCTCAACTTCCACCTCCCAGTAATGCTTTCCTGGAAATGGGATCAGACTGCCCAGGATCCCAATACACCTGTGGGAGACAGACAGGAGTACGTGCTTTGGCTGTGACTCTGCAATGCTGTTTACAATGTTTAGGTATGTAATATACCTGGACATGACATAGCAATAAACAAAAGCCACTTTTGCTGTCTTCTTTAGCAGTGCAGCATGGATTTTTGACTACAGCAAAGTCCACATGCTGCGGACCTGATGCAGAACCTTTGCCTGTTTTTACCTGTGGGTACCTTGTATAAATGAGTGCCCTGGGCACTTCCAGAAATAGGGAGAACAGCATCTTGTGCTGCCTGGGTTTTCTGGGAAAGTTATTACTTGCTAGAAAAGAGAGTGCTCTGGTGAACAACAGTATAGCAGGGGAAAAAGGCTACAGATTTTTGTATTTTCTTCCCCAGCAGCCCAGGGCTTTAAATGTCACTCACCATCAGGAATTGAACACTGTAACAGCATACAACTCCTGGGGCAGCTAGGGAGGAGGAGACCTGCCTGTGCTGTGTTTGGAGAGACCAGCAGG